GTGTCAGCGGTGACACGCGAACTCATTTTTTTGGTTGATTTTTCTTTGTTAAATGGCATTTAAATATATAAAATAAATATCAAAAATATAAGTCTTTGTTTTACTATGGTTGCAAATATCAAAAAATTTCTATATGTGACACGGCACCAGAGTTAAGTTAGGGTTTTTCAAAATGCTGACACGCCGAGCTCAAAAGGTTTGCCATCACTGTTTTAGACCTACAATTTGTAGAGCAGCCCACACTGGTAATGGCTAACACTGCTCCTGAATCATTTGGACTTTGTTCCAACTGCTGACTGCCATACTCAACACGTGACCTCATAGTATCCTCCTTCTTCTGCCCAAAGCATAGTCTTCCCCAATGCACGTATGAAGAAATGAGCTCAGACAGGGAAGGAACTCACCCCAATTCACAGGGCAATCAGGAAGGGCAGAAGTCAAATGCCTCAGTGCCATTTTATGATCTTGATAAGCCTAGAACATTCTTAGTTGTGGAGACTCCACTACATGCCATCAAACATGAACATGCACCTGTCTCTACAGAGTAAATGCAATGGACCAGGAACCATATGCTTTAAGTTGCAGTTGGTTAGTGGACATAGTTATGTTTTGGAGCTAGTTAGTAAACATCTATTCTTTTCCATGTGGCAGCTCCCTTTTCCTATTTGAGAGCAAGAATAATGTTCCAGACTCAGACACCTTTGTGAGCTCTCCTGTGATGTAATATTGAAAGGCTACAATAGGCTGAAACCCTGGTATTCTCACTATATAACCTCTCCAGTCCCTCTCAATATGATCTCCATTTTATACAAAAGAAAACCACATACAGTCTTCCTCTGGGTGCAAATAACAGAGGACTGTGACTCACACGGGCTGAGGCAAAATAACATGACTGTCTTACGGTGACTTCATTATTCTGGGAAACACCTGCCCAGGAAGACAAAGGATGCAAATAACCTCACTCTTTCACTTCAGAAAAGTCCACTTAAAACCACATGACTCTTCAGCACGTCGCACCAGGTAACCGTTGAAGCTCCAAGACTCTTTAAAACCCTTACCTCCCCCTACCTGGTTTGGCTCAGTGGATAGAGCGTCAGCCTGTGGAATGAAGGGTCCCCGGAATGGTCAAGGGCACATGACCAGGTTGCGGGCTCGGTCCCCAGTAGGGGGCATGCAGGAGGCAGCCGATCAATGATACTCTCTCATCATTGATGTTTCTATCTCTCCCTTCCTCTCTGAAATCAATAAAAATATATTTTTTAAAAAATAAAAATAAAACCCTTACCTCACATGCCAACTCCTAAATTACTATGACTTACAATCCTGAACTGTATAATGCGATCTTTACCCAAATCCTACTTAAGTCCTGCATCAAAAGGCTAGCCTTAAGCCAGACCCCAAAACCTCAATATCTCAACTTTGCCCTTTCCACCTCCACTCAAGAACTCTTTTCAAGATCCTGCTCTCTCTGAACAAGAGAAGCAACAAACTCAGTTTTGTCTTAGCAACCGGTTGTTTTGATGGTATTTGCAGGGAGCCAGCCTTTGACAAGGGGAACAGGATCAAACAGTGGACAGAGCCCGTCAGGTTGAATGCAGCGCTGGAGTACATGTCCCTGGAGGGCTGGCCAACAAGGAAGAACAAGAACAGGGCACACACGTCAGGGAGGCAGCCAACAGTGGCTGCTGCAGAAACCAGGTTCCGCCAGGGTTAAATGCCTTGCCCAAGGTCACTCAAACAGCTGGCAGAGCGCCGGTGAGGAGGATGCCGGTTTCCGGGCCCAACTCCCGGCTTTTCTTTTGTCTTCCTGGGCGCAGGGCCTGGCCCGCTTCTGCATCCGCAGCAGAAGCCTGGGTAGCCTCCTTCCCTGACCTCCTGGGCGCCGCTGCCTCAGGGTGACTCAGGCGGAAGCTCCTGTGCCTCGTCCCTCCTGTACTCATCAGCCGGGCTTAGGACCAGGGAAAACATAAGCTAATTGCGCGGTGATTAATTCACTCCTGCAATTAACGACCGAGACTTGCTCTGGATCCCTAGCCAGCGGAAGTGTGGTCACTGCGCGCGGGATGCCAGGAAGGCGGAGGGGGGAGGGGGTGGGGGGGGGGGGGGGGGGTCACCAACCCAGACGTTCCCTGCCCTGGTCGTGGTGGTGGTGCTCTGAGAGCCAAGCACCGGACACAGCAGAGGCAACCACCCAGGTCCCCACTCCCTGAACCCAGGCTACCACTCCCTAACCCACAGTCATTCCCCACCACCCGCCTCCTCATGCAAGTAGCTCAGGTAAGAGAAAACAAAAACTTGGGCTATAGCTCCATCTACTGGAAAACAAAAGAAGGACTCGTAATTATCAACCTGCTCAATTGTTACAGTCAAAACAATGCCTTTCTAAGCATTTCCTCTCATACAGGGCTGCAAAGCCTCCTCCACTCAATACCTTACATCAAATGGGAGCTCCATAAATGGTAGCTGTTGTGACTGTTTAAGTCTGCACCAAATTTATAGACAGAGATGATCTGGGATAGAAGGATTCTCAGGAATTCTCTGAGTTGAAAAGAGCTGATAGCAAGAAAGTTATAAAACCTGGACACAACATATTCATATATTAAAATATCTAAATAGCAAGAATGACAGATGAGCACCAGCTACAGTCCTTTTCATTAACAAATGCTCCTTCTCTCTACACAGTGTCGCGTATTCTCTACCAGGAATGAGAGGATGGTGTTGTGAGAACCACTGCCATCACATGGGCCCTGAGATTTAAATTACCTTAACTTTTTTTTTTTTTAAACAAAGAAGAAAGTATTTTAAAATCTAGCCATTTTACCTGATGAGGTCCTGAACGCGACTGTTAAAGGCATCACCTGGTGAGGGTCTGTTTTTCGTTTCCTCCGTCGATGTCTTTGGTGTAGCTGGCCGGCTGTTTCCATCCGGTCGACTGGCAATCAGGCAGCCAAAGACCATAGAACTGACTTTGAGAAGTCCAGCTGTCAAACCTTCAAAAACTTGCTTATTTGTATTTCTCCCCAAAATAGCATTATTCTCATCTGGAACATAAACCTAGAAGGAAATAAATACAGTAATTATGTTTAAGTAAAACCACCAAAAAATGGACAGAGATGATGTGGAAAATTTCTGGAATCATAAATAATTTTGAAATTCTAGAGTTGGCTATCTGAATGTGCGAGCGTTGGTTGTGAAGTCAGATTGCTGAGTTCAAATCTCAGCTTTGCCCTCGCTAGCTGCATGACCTTGAGTAGGTCTACCTCCAACCTTCAGTTTTCTCATTTGTAAAACAGGGGTAACAACAGCTTCTTTTTTTTTTAAATCCTCATTTGAGGATATTTTTTCCATTGATTTTTAGAGAAAGTGGAAGGGAGAGGGGAAACACTGGGAGAAATATTGATGTGAGAGAAACACATCGATTGGTTGCCTCCTGCACAAGCCCTGACCAGGCCTCAGGTTGGGGAGGAGCCTGCAACCCAGGTACGTGCCCTTGACCGGAATCGAACCCGGGACCGTTCAGTCCGCAGGCCGACGCTCTATCTACTGAGCCACAGCAGCCAGGGCTAATTTACTATTTCATTGGGGCTTTCAGCCCAATTTTGTAAACACCATTTTGGCAGTTTCTCATAAAGTAAACACAAATTGGAAAGCTTCTCTGACAACCTGGCAGTCAGACAAAGAGCCTGTGGCTCAGGCTGGTCAGGTCTGGGGTGAGTCAGAGCCCTGGGCTGCCCTTCCCTTTCTCGTCATGATTCCTGTTCCCAACCGTCTCAGTCAGTCTCACGCCAACTCAATCACATCATCGTGGTTTTCCACATCTTTTTTCCCCCCAATTTACTCACTTAGTATTGATCCGTACTGCTGAGAATGGAGTTTTCTTTTGCTTATTTCATCCAGGAAAAAAATTCAAAAGTGCCTGAATTAATTCAAGGAGGGGCTTATCTTTAGTGAGACTAAAAGTTCTTTCTAATCTTCAAAACGAGATTGGACACAAGGAACCCTGAGTGGTTTTCCACATCTTTTTTCCCCCCAATTTACTCACTTAGTATTGATCCGTACTGCTGAGAATGGAGTTTTCTTTTGCTTATTTCATCCAGGAAAAAAATTCAAAAGTGCCTGAATTAATTCAAGGAGGGGCTTATCTTTAGTGAGACTAAAAGTTCTTTCTAATCTTCAAAACGAGATTCAACACAAGGAACCTTGAGAACTGTCTGCGCTGTGCAGGTGTTCTGGTCAGGCAGGGCTCTGTCCTGTCTTCTGTCCAGCTGGGTATCGGTCACCTGCCTGGGGGGAGAGAACCCTGCGCTTGTGGGACACCGAGTGGTGAAACGCACCCCGAGCTCTGGTGTGCCCACGGACCAGCACCTGAGTTTGAACTTCCTGCTGCACAGAGGCCAGTGAGGGGCCTTTAGGGAAGGTGTGCAAGCCGCCCCCCACCCCCCCGCCAGCCCCAGCCCTGGTCTGCTGCACACCTGGCCCACCTGAGCCTGGAGCACATTCCCTCCGGGTGGGTGGTCTATGGAGGGCAGGGCAGGTGACCTTCCCAGCAGGCGCAGTGCTTGTAACCACCCTGCTGGTGAGCACAGGCCTGGCCTGGGAAAAACACAGCTATGAGCTTTGGCTCTTGGGAACCTGCTCCTCAGGCAGAATGTAAAACCACAGGCTCTCGTCTAAGGATGAAAGGGATTCCCTTCGTATATTTATGCAGAACACACTGGTACCGTCACTGTCTTACTCTTAATGTACCAGCAAACGACAATTTGATTTCATGTGTGTATTCTTATCACAAAATCTTCCCTTTCAATCTTTTTTATTTCTCCATCTTCTATTTAAGGAAACCATGATCCAAAGAAGCCACCGGGACTGGAATAAGTGGTACATGCTTATTCTAAATCCATTCCAAGGAGAAACCCAATATTTATGGGACCAAGCCCCTGAGGCAAAGTGTTTTAACAAAATTAAATTAAAGTCATCTTCGCTTTTAAAAGACAAGCTCAGATTCTTCCCCCCACTACCTCCTACCAACAAAGTGGTTTCAGGAACATTCTAAATTCTTTTTGCAATACAGAAAGATGCTTTTATTAGCGGTATAAATCCATCCTCTGTAACATGATTCCATGAGAGAGAAAATTAACTTGGTAATCAGCGGTAATTCTACCCAACTAATTTTTAGCATTGTGAAGTTGGGTTTACCTATTTTTAGTTGTATGGTGTGTTCGCAACGGTCAGAAGATGAGTTAAGTTCACTGAGAACCAACAGGAGGCTGACAGTTTAGAAAGCGCCTGTCAAGACACTGAGAGTTCAGGGGGGAAAGGAAAAGCACGTTGAAGGGTCCCGGCAGCGGACACAGGTTTCCACATAGTGGTCACTATTTTATGTCCCTTAGCAAACTGTCCTTAGACATACAACAGTCCTCTCACCACTGGTCTTTTATAAAACATCTATGCTCGAGTCATATTGTACATAAAACCACAACTCATAACGGACATTAACCATGATGATTTCCTTGGCTTGAAAGTATAAAAAGAAACTGCATGGGAATGGCTAATAAGTTTTCAATATTATCTTTGTAAAATTTCTACAAGCAATAAAGAGGACATAATATTTTATCCAAAATGTCATTATCCTTTTAAATATATTTATTATGCCTTCCAGTCTCTGTTTATATATATATATATTTTAAGTAGCCAAAGTCCTAAATAATATAACTTTAGCAAACTTTATGGTACAGGCCTTAGTAGTCATAATGGTTTTAAATTTCTTTGTTATAAATGTTGAGTCAGATTCTTCTGCTGGTGTTTTCCTCTCTTGCACAGTTAAAAGCCCCAAAGCTCATAAAGCCGAGGCCCTTCCCGACCTGTGCACGGCCCCATCACCTCCAGCTTCTATGCCACTCGGTGGTTCTCTCCCTGAATCCTCCTCCCCAAGGCGGGCTTGTGACCCGCCCCCCACTTCCTGTAGGTCTCTACCTAATGCCACCACATCTATAAGCCTTTATATACTACCTTTTCTTTTAAAAGATGTCAAGCTGCCAGAAAAGCCAAGGAATAGCATACAATGAACTACACTCTTCTATACAGATTCGTTAATTGATGTCATTTAGCCACATTTGCAAAAGCATATTTTAAAAATAAATTTGATTGTAAACCACCTATTTTAAGTGTGTGCATTAATAAATTTTGACAAAAGGAACGTACCTGTGCAAAACCATCATAATCAAGAAACAGAACATTTTCATCGCCCCCAGAATTCCCTGTGCTCCTTCCAAGTCAATGTCCTCCATCCCCAGGGCCCTGGGCACACCCATCTGCTTTGTCTCATCGTAGGTTATGTGGCATTTCCTAGCATTTCATATTACGGGACCATAAAAATAGGTAGACTTTAATCTGGCCTTCCCCCCACCGAGTAATGCTTCCTGAATTATGAATAACTCATCCATGTTGCTGAGAATATCAATAGTTCATCCATTTTTGTTGCTAAATATTATTCCAGTGTATGGATTACATCTGTTTGTCATTTCACCTGTTGGTGGACATGTGTGCTGTTTAGGAATGTAGTCATTTATGAATAAAATGTCTAATATCATTTTTGTGCAAGTCTTTTTTTTTGGTGGGGAAATGTTTTCATTTTTCTTGGGTGAATAGCTAGGAGTGAGACTGCGGGGATGCAGGAGAATGGTATGCTTGTAAGACACTGCCGACCCTAAAGCACACGTTTACGACACAGGATCTGTGAAACGGCATCATCGAGATGCAGGAGAAAGTACGCGACCGTTCAGGGAGCCACACCTTGCAGTGGTCGCCACGGAGACGCACCTGCCGCGCCAAGGCGAGGCGGCCACGGAGCTGGCGCTGCTGCCTCCCTCTCCCCGCAGCTGCCCTCTCAGGTGAGAGCACCTGGGCAGGAGCAGAGGCCACCACGACGCACGCTGCTCGCCCATTTCCCGCCTCCCACACACCCCACGAGAGCTTAGCTGCCTGAATGACCCTGTAATGTCTGGTGTGGCTGTTCTTTCCCTGACTGAGAGCCAGAGGCCCCGAGTGCAAATGTGAAGACGCTGCATGGGCTTCAGGAGGCAGGCAGCCAACGCGTCCCTGCGGGTGCTGGGAGGCCTGTGTGGGCCCCTCTCCTGTCCACTGTCTCCTCCCCCGGCCCCTCCTGCTCTGTCTCACTCTCCTCCCAGGTCCCCCTCTCGTCCCTGCTTTCTGATGCACGTGCACACGTGTACGTGGAGGAGACTCATTCTCGACAGGTTTCTTCATCTCAGGCTTCTGCTCGCTGCTCTTCCCCCTGCCAGACACCAAGGGAAGAGGGCTGTCTCCTTCCATCGCTGAGGGAACCCTCTGTGCCTTCGATCTGGTGGAGAATGCCCACTGTGGTCAGCTTGATGCCGCACGGTCAGTCACACCACGCCTCCTCGGGAGGAGCTGCAGAGGCGCTGCGGGGCTCTCGCTGCAGCATCAGGTGCTCAGACACTGGGTTTGTGCATCTGGTGATGTTCACTTTGACCCGCGACAAGGTGGTGTGAGCCAGGTTTGTCCACCATAAACGTACTCGCACTTTGTAATTAATAACAATTTTGTAGGGATGCTTTTTGTATGTTGGATATTAACCCCTTATCTATTCCCCTCATTTCTGAGGTTGCCTTTTCACTTTGTTGATGGACTCCTTGGCTGTACAGAGCCTTTTAGTTTGACACAGTCCCATTTGTTTGTTTGTTTGCATTTTTGCTTTTGTGGCCTGTGCGTTTGGTGTCATATCCAAAAAAACCACTGCCAGAACCAATGTCATGGAGCTTTTCCCTTGTGTCTTCTTCCAGGATTTAAGTCTTCAATCCACCCTGACTTAATGTCCTGGGGATGGTTTCATCACTGTGCACGTGGCCATCAAGCTTCCCCACTGCACTTGCTGAGATACCATCCTTCTCCCTCTGTGCAGTCTTGAAAGTCAAGGGTTAGTTGAACACGCGTGGGTTTACTTCCTGGTTCTCTGTTTTGTTCTGTGGGTCTATTGGTCTGTTTTTATGCTGGTTTTCTCTAATTTTATTTTTTTTTGAGGTTTCCACAGTGATTTATTGTTCATTATTTTAACAACGTTTACATGAAGACTGTTCACAATTAGACATCCTCAAACACTTTTGCCAAAATGCTTGCTTTTTAAATAACACCGATGAACCGGTGGCAGCAATGCCCCTTCCCGATGAAGCCTGTGGGTGTCGGTGGCCCTCTGATAACAGTCCCTTTGACAGATGTTCTTGGCTCGGTTCTCCCGCCGTCATCTTGTCCAGCGCGTCCTGAAACCGGCTTCCGTATTCAAGCAGGTCCAGCGCCACCGCCTTGTAGCTCCCGTTCATGTTGTGAGGAAGCTTCTTTGCCGGGTTCCAGCAGGAACAAGATGTCTCTGAGTGAATCACCTCACGCCATCAGAAACGGCTTCCTGGAGTCTTTCCTCAGGCCCATCCTTGCTGAACACTGTGACTCTGTGTCCTATTCTAGAGGCAGTTCCCTCACAGCAGGTTTCCGGCACTGCGGTTACATCGACAGCTGTGCGTGAATACTGGGTCTGATTCACGGGAGCAGCTGCCGGCTTCCCCAAAGGCGGTGACATGCTGTTCCCCAACCTCAAGGCCTCCCTGTGCGTGCCGCATCCCCACGAGGGCCGCAAGGTGCCAGATCATGGTCCGAGCGCGGGGCCCGTAGCAAACAGAGGGGACACAGGAAAACGGACCCGGGAGAGCTTGCCTCCAACGGCAGGCCCCCAGTTTTCTCTAATTTTCATCATTTCCTCCGTATGCAATCCCTGAGCTTAGTCTGTCCTTCCATATTTACTGGCTCCTTGAGGTGTAAGTTAGGTAGTTTGAGACATGCAGGTATTTATTGCTATAGACTTCCCTCCTAGCAATGCTTTTGCAGCATCCCATAGTTTTGGTGTATTATATTTTCATTTGACTCAGGTATTGTTTAATTTCTATTTTAATTTCTTGGCCCCATTTGTTTCTCATGAGTGTATTGTTTAATTTCCATGTATTTGTGAATTTTCCAGTTTTCATTCTGCCATTTATTTCTATTTTCATTCCACTGTGGTCAGAAAATAGCTGGTGTGATATCAGCCTCTTACACGTGCTGACGCATTCTGTGTTTCTGTGTGGATTTCTTTGGGTTCATCCTCGTGGGAGTCCATTGGACTTTTTGCATCTAAATATCCATTTCCTTCCCCAGACTGAGAAATTTTATGCTCTTATTTCTTTAAATACGCTTTCTGCGCTTCTCTCCCTCTCTCCCTCTCTCCCTCCCCCTCTCCCTCTCTCCCTCCCCCTCTCCCTCTCTTCCTCCCCCTCTCCTTCTCTCCCCTCCTCCTGTTGAGCCTACCTTTATGCATGTATTGGTCTGTCGGGTGGTATTGCATAAGCCCTGTAAGCTTTTGTCACTCATTTTCACTCTTTTTTCGTTTAGTTCCTGTGACTGGGTAATTTCAAATGACTTGTCTCTAAGTTTACTGATTCTTTCCTCTGTAAGATCAAGTCTGCTCTTGAACTTGTCTAATTTTCCAGTTCAATTACTGTATTCTTCAGCCCCAAAATTTCTGTCTGATTCTTTTTGAAAGGAGGAAACGAATACTGAGCCAATAAAATGAACTATTCTGTAAACCTTATTTGAATTTTCCAATCTTTTCACTCTTGTCCTTTTTCTGGTCTAAAATCCCACATTATATGTAACTGTCAGGTCTTCTAAGTCTCCTCCAATCTGTGACAGTTCTCTGATCTTTCCTTGTCTTTCATGACATTGACACTTTTGAAAAGTATCCATCAGTTATTGCGTAGAATGCCCCTTACTTTGGGTTTGGAGACCTAGGTCTGACTCTTGGCTCTGTGATTTACTAACGATGTAGACCCTGGCAAGCCAACCCCTCTGGGACTCAAGTTTCCTTATCTGTAAAATGGGATAATAATACTGACTTTATGGTTTAAAAATTAAATGAGGCAAAATATATTAAAATGCCTGGAATATAAGGCCACACAACACTAAGTCTTTTCCCCTGGTCCCTGCTTTTTAACTATTTCTGATAGAATTTTGTGACAAAATGTCTTGCCCATATTTTAATGCCTTCTTTTATAGGTAAAACCGTATGTAATTTAGCCTCAAGTGATGAACCTGTGTCAGCACCATAAACAGCCACCATTGTGTGTGCAACCAACAGTTCTATGTCTCCCTGTCAGGGTGCCTGCATATTGGGCTGCATCGTGCACTTTCTGAGTTTCAGCTGGAGACGTGGGGATCCATTTATTCACACGTATACGCATCCTCGATGCACTGAATCTACAGGCCCTGTGTTAGGGTCTTGGTGACAGTAATAAGTCCTTGCTGACTTTATGGCTAGTAGGGGAGACGGGCAAGTAAAGGGGTCATTACAATTCAATGTGATTAGTTCTATGGGAGACGGATGCCGAGGCGTACGTAAGAAACCCTAGCTGGGCTTGGGGAAAGCAGTCAGGTTGGGGAAGGTTTCAGGAAGAAGGGGCCATTGTGTTCCAGCTCAGGTCTGCAGAATGTGTAGAAATTAACCAGATGGAGGAGGAAGGAGAGCAAAGGCATGCAGCTTAGAAAGAACTATTACAACTATGTGCTGAGTAGAAGTAAATCGGTTCTGAAGAATAAATCTCCCGCTGTGACTTACAGCGTGAGCGCGGGGCGTGCCAATACCCCAGGGACTCAGAAACCTCACCAGGAAATTTCTGGCCCAGGGCTGTGTTCTGGAGACGTAAACCTTGGAATATTGCACTGAGCTGACCTGTTTCAACATCTGTGAACTGAAGTATAACTTAAGGTTACAATCGGCTGCTTGTTCCCATTTCAAAAGTAAAACTGACAGAGGCATTTTTTGCTTCAAAAAAAAAAGTTAATGGCCGTCAAATATTCCTTTTTACGCTGACCCGTCTGGTGAGCTGGCAAAGGTCTGCAGGCCTTCCCTGCTCTCCCTCCTAAAGTAAAACTGACAGAGGCATTTTTTGCTTCAAAAAATAAAGTTAATGGCCGTCAAATATTCCTTTTTACACTGACCCATCTGGTGAGCTGGCAGAGATCTGGAGGCCTTCCCTGCTCTCCCTCCTCAGGTCTGCAGAATGTGTAGAAATTAACCAGATGGAGGAGGAAGGAGAGCAAAGGCATGCAGCTTAGAAAGAACTATTACAACTATGTGCTGAGTAGAAGTAAATCGGTTCTGAAGAATAAATCTCCCGCTGTGACTTACAGCGTGAGCGCGGGGCGTGCCAATACCCCAGGGACTCAGAAACCTCACCAGGAAATTTCTGGCCCAGGGCTGTGTTCTGGAGACGTAAACCTTGGAATATTGCACTGAGCTGACCTGTTTCAACATCTGTGAACTGAAGTATAACTTAAGGTTACAATCGGCTGCTTGTTCCCATTTCAAAAGTAAAACTGACAGAGGCATTTTTTGCTTCAAAAAATAAAGTTAATGGCCGTCAAATATTCCTTTTTACACTGACCCATCTGGTGAGCTGGCAGAGATCTGGAGGCCTTCCCTGCTCTCCCTCTGTAGCACTCACTCCTGGGGCCTCACGGGTTTGGCTTTGAGGCCAACGGACTCCAAACCCCAGTCTAACCATGTCAAGGTGTGGTCTCGGCAAGTGTTGCGGTGTATTATCTTCCCCTCCGAGCTCAGGGGAACCCAATACGAGATTTTCCAATTAAGAGGCTTCTCTGCTGGCCCCTGTTTGATTCTCCCACTCATCTCTACTTTCTCATCTGGAGAGCGAGTGCATTCTTTTCCTTTTCTCCACAGGGAACACTTCTCGAACCTTAACTACTCCCAACTCAAAGCAACAATATTACATACCGTCAGCTGGTGTGTCAGGAGGTCCATCAAGAAGGTAATCTTGTTACTAAACAGAACGTCGGCGCAGTTTTCCGGGCAGTTGCTGCAGGTGAGGCTGTAAACGTTGATTGCGTTGCAGAGAGACCTAACGGGGAGAAAACACTCGCATGAAACCTCAGCAGCTCTTCTCCACACAATTAAAACACATACAATGAGCGGCACAAAGATCAGGCATGGAATGGAATGCTCTAAAAAACAAGCCAAGTATGAGGTGCAAGGCCCCCACTACACGTGAAAGGTTGTAACTTACATCCAAAGCCCCGGGTTCACGAGCACCTACGACAGGCCTCTTACTAATTCCTTATCTGCAGTAGGAGACCACGGAACACGCTCACCAGTGTATCTGATAATGTCTTCGTAATCTAAGATCAGATAATACCCAGGCACTTTGGGTCCAAATGTCTTTGAGTAACACCCAGAAAAAGAACCGGCCAAAGCGCCTGTTGCCTCTATTTAAAAAAATTCTATTGGAGGTTTTTATTTTTCTTCATGATTTATGAGAATTCCCTCATTATAACTATAACTAAGGGTTAATACAGGTTCGTAATATTTTCTCCAGTTTACCTAATGCCTTTCATTTTACTTATATCATTTTTCAGGTATTTTTATGTATGAAAGCTACACAATTTTTTTTCTTTAGAATTTCATTTTTTCTTCCCTTCCCTTTGTCCTTTAAAAACTTCTTCATTATGATACATTTGTATCCAGCCATTTGTATTCATTTTTCTTAAATTTTACCACCATATGTGGTAATTTTATGGTTTCATAATTCACTATCAAATCATTTAGAATTTCCTTTGGCATGAGGCAGAAGCCTAAATTTATTCCCCACATTAAAAACATTACTGAACAATCTACCTTCTCTCCACTGGTTTGAAAAGCCGCCTTTATCATACTACACAGGATATACTCCCTGGTTCCTAGACTAAGTGATAATTGGCCAAGCACTGTGCCAGTATCACGTTGTTTGTGTGCTGTAGCTCCACAGTGAAATTAATGTATGAACCTGCAGATCCCTAAAGCCTTAAAAAGTGAGGTACTACATTAGAATGACATGTGGAACTTTATAGCTTTATAATCGTATCTTATTTTCCCTTTGGTTTTGACCAATAATTTTATGGCCTTGATTTTTAAATTTCTATTTCTCTGTTTCATTCCATACAATCCCCAAAACTTGTCAAAAATCTTTTGTGGAATATCACAAGGCATAAACAGACATACAAACATAAAAACGCAAAGAACGCGTGGTGTGGGATTCTGTCCTAATCTAACGTGCTCTGTGCTTTCCATGGAAGGACACACTCAGTGGTAACGTGTGCAACGCCATGGGCCTCTCCATTCGCTTATGCTCACAAACTCTCCCAAGAAACTTCCACAAAGAAACGCTTTTCTGACGAGAAAAGAAGGGGCAACAATCTCAAGGTCAGGAAAGACCTGCCCACTCAGCAAAACCCGTTTGAAAGGCCAGCTCTGTGTGAGGAGCACCTGTCTTAGAAAGGTCACTTCTGGGAGCCCAGCCTGGGTGGTCTGCCCGAGCAGCCCTGCCTGTAACTTAAGACCCCAAGGCCTGGAAGCAGTTTCTATGACATCAGGCAGAAAGCCCCAGATTTTAAAAGTGTCTTCTCAGGTGGGTCTGCCAGGACAACGTCGTAAGCACGTGGCTTTCATGCAAGGCCGTTTGCAGCAGGTAAGACTTACCAGGAGACACTGTCCACCAAAACCCACCGTCTTACACTGATGTCCAGAGAACAGACATTTTAAAGCAACTGCCATGGGCGTTAAAAATCCAGAACCCCAATCATATTATAATTTTCCAAGTACCTTTGGTTTATATGAAGCATTTAATAAGTAGAATACAGTTTACCTGCATTATCATTCCTAAGTTATGTTTTGTCTTTGTAAAGCTCCAAACCAACTGGTATAGATACACTGGGTGCACCAAGTGAGCTGGGCGGCCCTCACAGAAGGGGCCTGGACCCAGGCCGGGGAGGGGCCCACCCTGCCGCAGTCCCGCCTGCAGGGGAGGCGGGTTCCAGCTGCTCCGCAGGCTCGCCAGGACGCAGTAGTGCAGCTGGGTATTTTAAGTAATTTAATAGGCACGAGGAAGTCTCGTACTGCAGTTTTAATGTGTACTTCCTGATGATGTTGAGAGCTTTTCATATGCTTATGTGCCATCTGTGCATCTTCTTTGGTGAAGAATCTATTCGAATCTTTTGCACATTTATTAACTTTCAGTCTGTGATGGAACCGCAGCAGCTAAAACAGTTCCTGGTCATGGCAGCACTGAGCCCACACTGACTGGCAGGATGGAGGCACGATACTCTCTCCCGCACCCACACGAGGTCACGTGGGAAGTTTGCAACCACGAAGGACAGCGTAGGATCTATCTCTGAGCTCATGTCTATACAAAGTAGAAAGACTCCAGTGTGTATTTTTGAACCAATGAATCTCGAATGCTAAAACGACCTGGCGTCCTCATGGACTGCTACCAGGAGAGTGTGATCTGATTACGCTTATGAAGTTATTTGTCGCAGGAAGAAAAGTTTCCCGTCGAGTCTCATTTTCATCGTGTCCAATGGGTCTGCTGCAGCAAATAGATTTCAGATGTATAATACTGGTCAGAATAAAATATACTGAAAAAAGGAGAGAAAAATAGTACTTGACATGGAAAATGTATTTAAAAGAAGTTCTATATGTGGTCTTTCATATATGGGAATCTTTTAAAACTGTCATTATTTTATTTATAAAATTAGAAGATATTACATAGTACAATTATATGTGACAGAATTTGCTTGTTTCTCTGCAGTGGAAATGAGACACCTGGTCAGTGGGTAAAGAGGACAATGCATATCGTGTTCTAAAATGTAGCATTTTAATAATACCAAAATTAACTTTAAAATTAAACAGTTTTCATCATTATAAGGACACCACAGAGAAAGGAGTAAGAACTCTTCAACTAGATGAGTTATTTCAAGGGTTTTTGTTTAATTGGTGAATCTGGAACAATTGGAATAGGCAACTTAATTCCACAGAGACACATTCTGATTTTAGTTGGAAGATCATATATATTCTAAGCACCAACCTAACTAGCCTTTCTGTACTTCCTAAAATTCACCTCCCCTTGAAATGTTATGTTTCAAAGATTATAATAATGGACTTAAAAATGTAGGGGAGCATAAAATTAAAACATTACTTTGAAACGCTAGTGTTGAACTCTGTTTTGTCTGATTACAAGGCAGTCATGGTCAGCATGCCTTCAGCTAGGTCTCAGCAGGACTGGCCACGTAAGTGCGACTCCGCATCAGCACGCCAGCTCTGGAGGAGACCCAGGTGGCTCGCAGTGCCGACCGGCAGGTTAAAGGCGACACGACGCATTTCTTTGCTTTAATCTCATTAGTGGTGCCGCAGCTGTCAACTGTGACCATCTCCGTGCAGCCTTTTGAGACATAAACCAAATGCTGCAATAAGTCAAATGGGAAGAGCATTTATCAATCACTATGGCTAATTAGTTTGCAAAACAGTTTTTTACTTTTATTGTGTAGGAGAACGCTATTCGCTTTTAGTAAGTCTTGATCTAAAAATAGATATTTAAAATTATAGTAGAATAATCCTGCCTACAAACGAGGACTTGTTTAACACATGTTATTAGCATGTGCCGGGGCCTTGGCATGGTGGATGTGAGGTGCATGTGGCTTCACTCCACAGCGTCCACATGCTCCTGACGGGCCGCCAGTCCAATGGCACCTGACTCCGTCTCTGCCACCTGCTTTAGGTTCTAGAGGGCGTTTAAGGCAACACGGAAACGCTGCAGTTCTTTCTGACTTCACTGCTAGTCTTCCCGGATCTTTCTGTCTCATACGTACAAGGAGTCTCAGTGGTTTGTGTTCACTTTCCCTTCTGATAAGGACAACTCTCGTGGGTTAGAAAACGCACACAGATCTTTCCGCCATCGGTCCGTGCCGCCATAATGGTGCGCAGGAATGTCCTGGCTGATGCTCTGAAGAGTATCAACAATGCCAAAAAGAGAGGCAAGCGCCAGGTTCTCATCAGGCCATGCTCCAAAGTCCTCGTCCGGTTTCTGACTGTGATGATGAAGCATGGTTACGTTGGCAAATGTGAAATTACTGATGACCACAGAGCTGGGAAAATTGTTGTGACCCTCACAGGCAGGTTGAACAAGTGTGGAGTAATCAGCCCCAGATTTGATGTGCAACTCAAAGATCTAGAAAAATGGCAGAACAACTTGCTTCTGTCCCGTCAGTTTGGTTTCATTGTACTGACAACCTCAGCGGGCATCATGGACCATGAAGAAGCAAGACGAAAACACATAGGAGGGAAAATCCTGGGGTTCTTTTTCTAGGGATGTAATACATATGTGGAAATAAAATGCCTCAAAGGAGAAAAAGAAAGAAAATGCACACAGGCTGGAACTGCCCGGGTGGGCTCTATGCACAGAAATGCCTGACCGAAGGGCACCTACACCTCTTTCATTCACCTCTACTTTGAGAGAACAGCAAACCCCAGACTCAGTACCAAAGAACTTCTGCACAGAAACGTCACCAAAGGCCATAGAAAGCAGACACAAATAAGCCAAGGTGGCAGAAGTTCATGCGACACAGACAGCACTGTCCTGAACCAGGAAAGACGACTCCTGTCGCCTAACCTCTTAGGGCACTTCACAGTTCACAGGGACGCTCACGGCATTCCAGCTGACCTGCACAGCGCATGCCAGGTGAACACAACCAGCCGTGTGACCACGGGAGGAGACACGGCCACAGGGCTAAGGCACCGCCCAAATTCTCCCAGCGGGGAACTGGAGTCCAGCTTTGTCTGACGCTAGAGCTGGCGCTATTTCTGTTTTACCAAAATGTCTCTCAAGAAAAAAGATAACATGGTTTGGGAATTTCTTTTTCTGTTTTATCCCATGGACAAATGAAGCACTCACTTTTGTTGGGCTAACTAAATGTTTAAAAGTTTTCTTCGTGATATAAATAAATTTTTATGAAAACTTCTCACTTAAACTCTGTGAGTACCCAGAAATTGTGCATGTTACAACTCAGGGATACCAGACTTCTGAGGCAAAGCTCTCTGCTTCCACATCCCAGAGACCACGGGGGCTCTGGAGAGCAGGGGGCAGACCCAGGTCTCCGGCTGTGCAGGACCCTGATGGCCAAGAGCACTTCGCAGTCAAAGACCCAACTGCGTCTGCGTCCGTCCGAGCGACGTGGTTGGGACTCTAGGTGACAGCAGTCTGGCCTCAGCCGGTTTTCCTGTGGCGAGGACTTGGCCTTCCTCCCTCGGGCTTTGTTCATGTGCTCACACCTTGTTCTGCAGGCAGCACAGGAAGCTGGCTTTCTCTACTGCTCTTCATTTTGGCTCCATTTCTGTCAGCAGTTACAACTGCCCAGGAGTTTACCAATTCCTCTTGATTTAGGGCTAGAGAAGGTCGTAGACCACAGAGATTTCCTTTTTATGGCTTCAGGCTCAATCTGCTTTTCTCCCTACAGGCAGTGTGAGCTTTTGCTCTTCAAGCCTGAACACACGTACCATTTCCTCGTGGTCTCCTACATGGAAACACAGGGCAGAAGGACTCATAAACGGAAGGTGGAAGACAGATGAAGAGACTGTACTCACTTGGGAGGAATTCGTGAAACTGTGTTCACGTTCGCGGCTGGGACCACTCCTTGAAGAATGTGTTCAAGGGCTGTTAATCCACCGGCAACTTGAAATGCAATCTGATCGGCCACATTCTAGACAAGAACACAAACAGAAAATAGCTCAACTTCCCAGGCACAGAATGAGAACCACATGAAATATTTACTTGCAGTGGGACACATTCTGCTGGTTCAATTATTCTGCAAATATTTATTCAAGGCTTAGTAGGAGCAGTAGGTCAAAAGTGGTGAGCACCAAGGACACGACTGCTGTCCCCACGAAGCTTGAGATGTGGTGGGTGAGACAGCGCACATCCGATGCCTATAAACAAGATGATGTTGATGTGGTTAGTGCCTGGAGAAACGGGCCCGCGCTTAGGAGCACGAGGGGATGGCGGTCAGCACGGGTTCCGCTGACCAAGTTGAGGTCGAAGTCAGGTGAGACAGGAGGGAAAGGAGCCAAGTGCTCCAGGCAGAGGGAGAACCATCTCATACAGAAGTTGTCACGATACCCGGAAAAGGCAGATCATTCTGTAACAGTCATTACCACCTGACAAGGCAAGCTGACTTCCACCAAGATTTCCTCTTCTAGAATTTTTCTTCAGTAATATCATCTAACATCTAACCATGTAGCTATACCTTTTTTTTTAAACCACTTCAGCCATTTTAGGAAGCGTATTAAACCACTTTTGATTATTTCTGTGCATTTTCTGAATTGTTCACAGTGCTGGTGGGAAGAAGCTCCTCCAAGTTCTTGGCATCCCTCTGGCGTGCGGACGGCAAGAGTGATCCTGGGGGCAGGTATGAGCTGTTAAGGCTGCACAGAGCCACCGCATCACATACGGACCAAGGAGGACAGCAACCCGTTATGGGCTGAATCGTGTCTCCCAAACGCTTATGTTCAAGTCCCAACCCCTAGTCCCTCAGAACGTAAGTGTATCTGAGGATAAAGTCTTTAAAGAAGTGACTAAGTTAAAGAGACGCTGTTAGGGTGGGTCCTACTCCAAAAGACCTGTGT